AACCGGTGTTCTCTCTGGTGGTGTTTATCTCCTCGAGTGCGCATTTTAGTTAGTATCGCTTTTGTTTCTTGATTTTGTGTTTTTTTGACTAGTTAGATTTTTTTATTTATTTGTGTCATTCTTGGGGTTGGTCGCAGTCGGTCAGGTTTGCCATCTCAGGTGAATGACTCTTTGTGCAAGAACCTGGGTGGCAATGTTGTGGACTGCCTCCAGCACTTTGGCGCAGGGAGGTATATTGCTACCCTGTCATATCTAGCTGTGGCTCACCAGCTGTTGGGTAGGGGTTCGTTTACCACTGCATTGTAATAATTTATTGTTGCTATTTCAAAATAAGTTTAGTTATTCAACACTAGTTTATTATTGTAATATAAGAAATTAATGGTTAATTTTCAAAGCGTGCGTACGATATTGCCTGTTAGCAATGTAGGTTAGACTAACATACACGTTGGCTGTGTTGTCTGTTAATCTTGTAGGTTAGGCTAAGATACACGTTGGCTGTGATGTCTGTTAATCTTGTAGGTTAGGCTAAGATACACGTTGGCTGTGATGTATGTTAATCTTGTAGGTTAGCCTAACAATTTTGGATACGTCAGCACTTTGAATATGTTCGTCAGTTTATCAAGTTAATATTATTAATAAAGTAAATATTATATATACAAATGATTAAATCTATAACCACCATAGCTCAGTAGCAGAGCACTGGTCTTGTAAGCTAGGGTTTATGAGTACAATCCTTACTGCAATCTCTATAAATTACAAACACTATGTTATTACTGTGGATATATTAACAGCAGTTCGTTTATAAATATTTTAGTGAACTGATATTATCGTGGAGTCATTTTAATTTTTAATATACTTTAATAATTTGATATTAACTTCTGTAACATAATACTTAGAATGACAGAATATTGGATGATAGAGAATCGTCGGCTCTGTTTTATTTTTTTCTGTGAGAAGTCTTACACTTTGTATAAACCAATTGAAATGTGTTTCAAAAAGAATGAATTTTAAATGGAAAGATGATAAATGTAAGCGATAGAGAATTTTCTTAGGTACTTACGGCCAAAATCTTAACTTTGTTTAACTATGTAAGATGGCGCCACATGTAGTTTCAAATTTAAAATAACAATAATCGATAGTTCATCTGGAATGTAAGTATATGTTTTACAATATTGTTGTGAGTTAAACAATATAGCATTACAAGTTCCGATCAAAAACCTCAACATATATAACTACGCTATTTTTGTCATTTTTTCTTCCACAATTTGAATTTTACTTAGTTACTGAAGAGTTTATTTTATCCTAAACAACTTCGTATGCAACAATGAATAGATAAAACAGAGAATTAGAATTCTAGAATGTTTCTTGCTTCATATTAATTCTATATCTATTTGAACGTTTAACCACATTCTGAGATTAAACTCTGTACATTTTACGTATAAAATAGAAGCTATACTTTAGGGCAAATTTTATAAACTATATTGATAAAACCTGTGCTAGATCTTTGTAATATGTCTAAATCTAATTAACAAAACAAATAAAACCATATTCAACATGAACTAGATCTATGTAATAGACCTAAACTTAATTAACAAAACAGATGAAAACACGTTTACATGAAATACATCTATGTAATAGACCTAAACCTAATTAACAAAACAGATAAAACACATTTACATGAAATATATCTATGTAATCTATCTAAACCTAAATGATAAACCGGGTAAAAGAAAATTTATCCTTCACCAGATTTATGTAATATCTGTAAACCTCTTGAACAGGAACGGTAAAAACTGTCAATTTTAATAGAGTTTTTATTTCCCAATACAACTTTCACAGTAGCCTCTAGAACCTAAAGTGAGTCATTGAAAAAATCTTAATTTACTAAAACCGTTCTGAACATTTATTAACGTCATATTTATATTTTATAATAAAAATCTAAGACTGCATATCATATACAGATGTTACTTATAAGTTATCTTCCCTCAAATAATACAAAAACGTTATGTGTCAATGAACATTTCACAGATTAACAGTGTTATACAACACTCTATAGCCAGTTTTTACAACAATGTTCCAGACAATCCTCCTACTTCTTGTGTAATATTCAAGATCACAAAATATGAATATGAAATTAATAAATCTTCAAAACGGTTTTGATAAATTAAGATTATTAATGATTCTCTGTGTTTTATTCACTGTTTAGGTTCTAGAGACTACTGTGAAAGATATTTTGAACAAAAAAATTGTTCCCTTTATTTGAAATAGATTTATCGATCAGGTTTGGATTTCTTGTGATGAAGAGAACTTTCGCTGAAAAGAACCTTTCTGTCCATGTTTAAGATTATTATCTGCAATACATATTTAGAATTTGAGATATTGTGGGTAATTTTAAATTTATCTATTTGAT